TGACGGCCCAAGAGGCCCCCAAGAAGGCCCCAAGAGGGCCTCAAGACGGCCCAAGAGGCCTCCAAGACGCCCAAGATGGCCTCCAAGACGGCCAAGATGGCCCAAGATGGCCTCCAAGATGCCTCCAAGACGGCCAAGATGGCCTCCAAGACGGGTAAGATGGCTCCAAGATGCACCCAAGACGGTCCAAGATGGCCTCAAGATGGTCTAAGACGGCCCAAAAGGCCGGCAAAAGGCCTCCAAGACGGCCCAAGAGCCCTCCAAGACGCCCTCCAGGAAGGCCCGAATAGGTTAAAATCATTGATTTTCCTAAGGTTTTTGAAGGATTTTGGCATGTTCTTCTTTTCAGCTCTCCGACGGCCCCAGACGGCCCATGAGGTCCCCAACATCGCCCCAACAGCACCCAAGAGGCCTCCAAGATGGCCCCATGACGGCCCAAGAGGCCCCCAAGAAGGCCCCAAGAGGGCCTCAAGACGGCCCAAGAGGCCTCCAAGACGCCCAAGATGGCCTCCAAGACGGCCAAGATGGCCCAAGATGGCCTCCAAGATGCCTCCAAGACGGCCAAATGGCCTCCAAGACGGGTAAGATGGCTCCAAGATGCACCCAAGACGGCCCAAGATGGCCTCAAGATGGTCTAAGACGGCCCAAAAGGCCGGCAAAAGGCCTCCAAGACGGCCCAAGAGCCCTCCAAGACGCCCTCCAGGAAGGCCCGAATAGGTTAAAATCATTGATTTTCCTTAGGTTTTTGAAGGATGTTGGCATGTTCTTCTTTTCATGGCCCAAGATGGCCTCCAAGATGCTTCCAAGACGGCCAAGATGGCCTCCAAGACGGGTAAGATGGCTCCAAGATGCACCCAAGACGGCCCAAGATGGCCTCAAGATGGTCTGAGACAGCCCAAAAGGCCCGCAAAAGGCCTCCAAGACGGCCCAAGAGCCCTCCAAGACGCCCTCCAGGAAGGCCCGAATAGGTTAAAATCATTGCTTCCAAGACCGCACATGTGGCCCAATATAAACCCAGAGTAGCCAAAAAGGCACTCAAGAGACCTCCTCCTCCATTCCCCCCCTTCCTATCTCTCCTCTCCTCCCCGTCCTCCCCCACGTGTTCCCCGAAGGCTGTAAAGACCGATTCGGGGAACATATGGCCCAATAACTTGGCAGACCTCTGGCCACAGCAGTCGGCCGCATCGGCGCTTCCGAAAGGGCAGGGGGCGGCGGTGATTCGCCGTAGGCGTCTTCGATAATGCCCATGGAGCCTCTGCTCAGCTCTCCGCCTGCACATTTCTTTGTCGCGCAAACATACTGCCCCCCCCGGATCGACGGCATTGGCTCGAGGCCACTACAAGATATGATGGTCCATTTTCGACCACCACTACCATAGGTCGAAGAGAGAGAGAGAGAGAGAGAGAGAGAGAGGGGAGGGAGAAGGAGGAGGAGGAGGAGGAGGAGAAAGAGGAGGAGGAGGAGAGAAAGGAGGAGGAGGAGGAGGAGGAGGAGGAGACGGAAGAGGAGAAGGAGGAGGAGGACCTCCGCATCCTCCCTTCTCCCCCGTCCTACATATGGTAGCGGTGGTGGAGAATTCGCAAATCCATATCGAATCGCATCCTCCCGCTCGCGCGCAAGCGAGCTGTCTCCGAGCGGCGCCGTGGCTGGCGCCGTGGCGGGAAGGCCCAAGATGGGCAGGCGCCCCCCCCCGGCGCGCCCAAGCCAGCGGCGCCGCACTGAGGTGGCGAGCTCCACCTGGTCGCCGAAGGGGCGACGCAGCCATGCCCGCGCCCAAAACCCTTGCGCAACGTCAAGGTTTCGGCGGGCGGCCGCGAGACGGCAGCGAAAAACAAGACTTGAGCCCGAGAGGGCTCGGGAAGCACAGCGAGAACTGTCGATGCCGCAGCAGCCTGAAGGTAGCGTTCAGCGCCGGACGCATGGCGCCAGCGACCCTGCCAGGAGACGCGCGGCACGCATTCGGTCGCGATATGGAAGTCGGTCACGCCTGAGCTCCAAAGGCAGGCAGGCGCCAACTTGAGGCCAGCGGCAGCCTCGGCGAAAGGGGCACGCCGGAAGCAAATGGTTCCACCGAGCACGGAAGCCGCTCTGAGCGAAGGGTGTGGGCGGATCGGTGGAGCCCAAATTACCGAACCCTTTCTCAAGAATCCTAACGGTAGTCCGATCCGAGCAATGAGCATGCTGGGTCGATGCGACCGCCGAGTCTCCGGAGCAAGAACCGAGAAAAGGCGTCGCCAGGCGACTCGAGGTGGTCGCTGGGCAGCGACAGGTCACGCCGTCGAGCAACCATCAGCTGTTCTGGTCGCAGAACCATCGTGAAACCCACTAGCAGCAGAGCTGCCATCAGGGGTCAGTCTCAGGCAACACAGAGCGCGCAGGAGCGCGAGGGGTAGGGGAGGGCGGAGCTTGGGAGGCCCGGCCAACTTCCAGTGGTAGGCCACGTCTTACGCCCCAGAGAGAAAAACTGTCAAGTGCCTGTGATTGACAGAGGGCACACCGCCGACGGGCTCCTCAGAGGGGGAGCCCTCTGTGCTGCCTCTGCTCAAGCCACGGAGCTCGACTCTGGCGTCCTGTCTGGGATGCCCCGGATGACCAGGGTCTCATGCCAGGGGAGCCCCTGCCTGTTGTAGAGGCTAAGTCCCACATGGCTCTCCTGCAGCGACGGGCTCCCTGGGCCCACGGGGCTCAGACATTGTCTCGTGAACAAGGCGGCGGAGAAGCGCGCCAGGAAGGGTTCGAGCCCCATGCCCCTCCGCACGGAAGGTTGAGCAAGCCCGCACCGCCTTGTAAGCCTCAACGTCGCGGATCCTGAAGCATCTCCGCTGCTTTCGCGCAGAGCTCAGCAGCAGCAATGTGGCCAATAACTTCACTCCCTGCGCCCCGCGGTCGCTTTCGGAGGAGCGATCGGGCTCGCCGCCCCACTACAGTCCGTGCTCGTGGCCCTGGCCGCCGGCTGGAGCTGCTCGCTGGGGGTCAGTGGCAGTGCTGCCACTGCCCAGGGCTCGTCAGGTCTGCCTCTCGTGTCAGCGTCGCCACGGCCGAGACCTGTCCTGGCTAGCGTGGGGCCATTTCCAAGGGTCGGGCGCGCCTCATAAGCGACACTTTTTGCTCAAGGGTGAGTGCAAGACTGACGCTCCACGGAGCTGGCCCGAGGTGGCCGCACGCGGATCCGACCGCGCCCCTCTCCAGCCGCCCTCCCCCCCGCGTGCACACCACGTGGTGGAGAGTGTGGGATATGTTGTTTGCCGTACCTGCGGGGCTTCCGCCCGTTCCCGCGCCCAGAGGTCGTTGCCGGAGTGTGACGGCCCCCTTCGGAAAGAGGTCCCTGCTCACAAAAATAGGCGACGATGTCGTGATTGCGCATCCTGGAGGGTCGTGACACCCAAGCGGATTTAACCAAAAAGACGGGCGTGACCTGTCTGATTAGACTCCGATCCCTGAGCGATCCTCGCTCGGAAAGTGGTCTGCCTTTAGCATTGTGCGTAGATTCCTATCCCTAACCGGTCCTCGATCGGGACGGAGTCTGTGGCCACGCTGATGGAGGTCTTGAGGCCCGCCCGCATGGCCGCCCAGTCAAAACAGGAAGAGCAGAAGTGGGACGAGGAAGAGTGCAACGAGAACGAGGAGGAAAAGGAGGAGCGAGCGAGCGCTCTCGTAGATGGACCACATTTTTCAAGTGGGCCTCCTCCTTTTACTCTTCTCTCGTCATCGTCATCATCATCATCATCATCATCATCATCATCAGCAGCAGCAGCAGCAGCATCAGCATCAGCATCAGCATCATCATCATCAGCATCATCATCATCACCAACATCACCATTATCATCAGCATCAGCATCAGCATCATCATAATCACCATCATCATGAGCATAATCAGCATCATCATAATCAGCAGCATCATCATCGTCATGATCACCATCAGCAGCATCAGCATCAGCATCATCATAACTATCATCTGCATCATCATAATCCTCATCATCATCATCATAATCATCATCATCAGCAACAGCAGCATTGCCACCATCATCGTCATCAGCATCAGCATCATCAGCATCGTCGTCATCGTCGTCATCATCAGCATCAGCATCAGCAGCAGCAGCAGCATCGTCACCATCAGCATAATCAGCAGCAGCAGCATCAGCATGAGCACCATCGTCATCATAAGCATCAGCATCACTATCATCATCAGCATCATCATCATCATCAGCATCATCATCATCACCATCATCATCATAATCATCATCATCATCAGCAGCAGCAGCAGCAACATCACCAGCGTCATCCTCCGCACCAGCATCTTCGTCATCGTCATCATCATCATTGTCATCATCATCAGTTGATCAGCATCATGATCATCACCATCATCAGCAGCAGCAGCAGCATCATCAGCATCATCATCCGCATCACCATCATTGTCATCATCATCATCATCAACAGCAGCACCATCATTGTCATCAACAGCATCATCAGCATCAGCACCATCATCAGCATCATCATCAGCATCAGCATCATCCCAGTCCTCATCCTCATCCTCATCCCCATCCGATTCCTCATCATCCTCGTCCTCGTCCTCGTCACCGTTGTCGTCATCGTCACCAGCATCAGCATCATCATCGTCGTCATCATCACCACCACCGTCATCATGATCATCATCATCAGCAGCAGCATCATCATCAGCATCATCAGCATCAGCATCAGCATCAGCATCAGCAACACCAGCATCATCATCGTCATCATCATCATCAGCATCAGCATCATCATCAGCAGCAGAATCATCGGCTTCCTCCTCCTGGATTTCCTGGTCTTCTCCAATCCAGTTTCCGCCCCATCCCCCATCCTCCTCCTTCTCCATGAAGAGACCTTGCGATCCCCTCCACTCCTCCTCCTCCTCATCATCATCATCCCTCTCCTCGTCGTGCCCAAATCCCCTCCTCTCCCTTTCCCCTCCTCTTCAATCACGTCCACGCCCTTCTCCTCATCCTCACAATTGTACCCCGCACCTGCTGCATCCCGTGCGTTCTGGCGTACTCGTGCTCTGGGCTCTTGGGGTCGAGCAGCGGCTTGATAAGCTCCTCGCACGCAAGCGGGCCCAGTCCGCTCGGAACTTCCCCACGTCCCCGCACCCCACACACACACACACACACACACACACACACACACACACACACGGCTCCTCCTCTTCCTTCTCCTCCGCCTCCTCCTCCTCCTCCTCCTCCTCCTTCTCATCCTCATTCGTCTTCCTCCTCCTCCTCCTCCTCCTCCTCCTCATCATCATCATCATCATCATCATCATCATCATCATCATCAGCATCAGCAGCAGCAGCATCATCATCCGCTTCCTCCTCCTCCTCCTCCTCCTCCTCCTCCTCCTCCTCCTCCTACTCCTCCCCCTCCACCACCTCCTTCCTCCTCCTCCTCCCTCCTCCTCCTCCTCCTCCTCCTCCTCCTCCTCCTCCTCCTCCTCCTCCTCCTCATCATCATCATCATCATCCACCTCCTCCTCCTCCTCCTCCTCCTCCTCCACTCCTCCTCATCATCATCAGCAGCAGCAGCAGCACCATCATCATCATCATCATCATCAGCAGCAGCATCATCATCAGCATCATCATCATCATCATCCTCATCCTCCTCCTCCTACCTCCTCCTCCTCCTCCTCCTCCTCCTCCTCTCCTCCTCCTCCTCCGCCTCCTCCTCCTCCTCCTCCTCCTCCTCCTCCTCCTCCTCTCAGCGAGAGCCCCCAGCAGGAGGCCAGCGCCGGCGCACCCGGCGGCACGGCACAGCCACCTGGCGGCGCAGTCGCGCCCGCCGGCATCGTGCATCGGGCCTCGGGACGTCGGAGCCGCGCCTCGATGCGAGGTCGGGCCTGTCCTCCTACAGGCCGCTCTGGGGAGATCACCCCCCAAAAAAACAATGACAACAAGAGTTCAGACCTTAGCCGCCCCGATACGCAGCACGCAACACGTAGCGTATTGATACGGAGCTCAGCACGTATCCTGACTACGTGGGTCCGACGCGATACGTTCGCCAAAACGTGGTCCAATACGTGGAGTCGACACGCAACGTATTGGCACGGACGTCTTGAGTACGGTACGTGTTGCGTATCAGAACGTGCGTATCGAGGCAGCTAAGGTTCAAACATAGTCAAGAATAGTCGAATAAAATCGACCACAGACTATGATTCGACATTGCTTGAAGATCCCTCCTGCAGAGGGACGTGCCCGACCCAACCTCGATGCACCCGGTGGTCCATGCCGTAAGCGAGGCTCCCGGGCGAGTGCGTGCAACGCGCGCCCCTGGGCTCTTCGCCTCTGCCGTCGATCCCCGACTGCCGCCTCCGCTCGTCGCCACCTGAGGGTGCTCAAGAGGAGGTTCGGGGACGTCGGGGACGTCGGGGACGTCGGGGACGTCGGGGACGTCCGGGAAGTCGGGGACGTCGGGGACGTCGGGGACGTCGGGGACGTCGGGGACGTCGGGGACGTCGGGGGCGTGGGGGGGGCGACGGCCGCGGCGCGGTCGGCAGCGAGAGACTGGCAGGTCGCAGCGGAGCGGAGCGTGCGTCCGGTCGGGCTGCGGCACGGGGCCGAGATGTCGGGGAGCAGAAAAAAAAACAAAAAAACAAAAAAAAACAAAAAAAAAAAAAAAAAAAAAAAAAAAAAAAAAAAAAACGACCACCCTCCTAAGAGGCACCCCGGCGGGCGGAGCCAGTCGGTAAACGCACCCAGGGGAGGAAATCGAACAGTCCCTTCTCCGGGCGATGGGCGTCACCCCCCTCGCGGTCATCAGCGTCGCCCCCTCGTCGCGCCGACCCCTGCCCCTCTCCGACGACCCTGACATCCACCCCGCTCCCAACGCCCGCGGTCATCACTCGCACCCGAGGACACGATTTTTCGACCTCGCGACCTGCGCCAAGCTCTCGGGGTCGGGGCGGTTTCTTCTCCCTGGCAAGATCGAACCAGGTCGGCTGTGCCAGGGTGTGAAGCGGGCGCCGATCAAGAACGGATCTTGCGCGAGATGGCACCGCGACACGACGCCGTGGCGCACGCGGGCCGCCGGCGCGGTACGCTACGCTGGAAGCGAGCGCGCCTCCGCGCGGCCTTATGCGGGCAGCTTGCGCGCCAACGTCGGCGAAGACGACGAGTTTTAACTGCGTGCCGCTCACGTGGCACGTGGCGATCCCAGTCCCCAACTTCTTCTCGGGTTCTCGACACGACCAGGACATGGGGCCCGATTCGGGGATGCACGAAGAGGGTGGGTGGGGGGGGGCCATTCTCGGGAAGGGTACGTCCACATTGCCCCCCTGGAGGATCCCCGAGTTCGAGCGGCCTGCTCTTTCGGGGAGACTCTGATAAAGGAGGCGAGAAACTACCTGCGAGGATGCACAACAGCTCCATGCAGGCAAGCATCGGGCCACATTGCATCGCTGGAACATATCGGAACCGGATCGGCTCGGGCCGGCCGGAGCTGAGATCGAATCGGACCGATCGGGTCGACACGGATCCTGTGGGCTGGAGTTGTGGATGCCATGTCACCCTAACAACCCGATCCGTGAATTAAACAAGCGTTTAACATGTTTGGAAAATGTTCTGGAAATACATAAAAAATGTACTTAACATGATTAAGACATGTGTTAATCATGTTTCAGACATCTGGGAATCATTTGGCTACACGCTTCCCCTCCATTGATCGTCGTCCACAAGGCTGGAGTGCCAACATGCGGTCGAGAACTGCTGCTCAGCGTGTCGCGTGGCGGCGGCCCCCGCGACACGCTGTGCCCTCTTGCGCGCGGACAGCGCGTCGGCTCCGCTCCGCGGGGCGGGAGCCTGGGCAAGGCTCGAGACGCTGGCGCTCGGCGACCGCGACGTGCATAGCTCTGGAGGTCGGAAAAGGGTGTGGCATAAAGGGGTGTGGTGCCAATCGTGGAAATCGCGATGTTATCTACGATGGACAGCCCCGCAGGATCCAGAATTGGCACCACACCCCTTTACACCAGTCACACCCCTTTCCTTGGCGTGTCGCGCCGAAGCGCGGTGGGCCAGAACCAGCGGCGCGACCCGCTGACCAAGAGCCCCCGACCGTGATATGGCCCACTCCGGCATCGAATCGGGCCAGGCTGACCAGAACCGATGTCAAATCGGAACAATCGGACCGAGATGAACCCTGCGGGCTGGAGTGTCTGGACGAAGCTTTTTTCGTCGGCGGCGAGGCAGAGGCAACCCGCACCAGCGTGGGGCTAATCGGGGCAACCGATAAGCAACTTGTCCAGAGTGCAAGAGAGGGAGACAACAAACCCTGAACCCAAGAACCTTGGCATCTCGCGTCTGCTTCCGCGACCAAAAATGTTGGCATCTCGCGTCTGCTTCGACAGGCCTTCCACCGGCCCCGGGACCCAGGCTTCAGGCTGGCGGGCCCGCCGCAGCCCTCCTCCCTCGGGCTTCCGCCGGCGGGCCTCCGCTGGCATCCGCCGAAGGCGAGGGTGCGTCGAAGGTGACGCCCTTTCGGGAGCGCGCCGTTTGGCGGGTTCCTCAAAACCCTGAGCCAAGAAACCGTAGCCAAGAAACCGTGCCCATCTATTGGGAGACCGAGCTTTACGTCCGCTGGCTTGCGCCAGCGGGGGCGGCCTCGTTCTACTTCCGCAGCCTTCCGCTGGCCGTCCGCCGCCTTCCGCCGATCCCCTAGGGCGAGGCCCTATGTCAATAGGCAGCTGGTGTTGCCGCAGATACGTTTTGCAACGACTGGGGGGCTGCGAACGGTAACGATGCGCCTGTAGAGCCCGTGGGAATGGATTCGCCCGTGGCGGCCAGTAACGACGATCATGACGACAGCAACGTCGAAGACGATGACAAATCATGTGCGCGAGACCACAAGCCAAGCCCTCCAATCTTCCTCGTCCTCTGCAGACTGGTCTACTGCCATAGCGACGGACCCACTGTTACAACGGCGTCTGAATCTCTCTCTCTCTCTCTCTCTCTCTCTCTCTCTCTCTATATATATAGATAGATGGCGAATAAAACATCCGACCACCTGTTCTGAGGCCTTTCGGTAACATCGGTTACCAACACGACTGAGCAGCTGTCGAAAAAGACGCATCGAGCGAGAACGACCTCGACAACTTGCGCCCAGCAAGGGTAACCACGGTGGGTCTCCATTGTCCACCAGACCGCAGAGGATGAGAGACGAGGAGGTCCCAACTTCAGCCGGCAAAGACCCCCCTGGCTCAAGCTGTCAGTGGCCACTTGCCGAGAACCGGGGGGGGCGCACGCGAAATAGCACATGGACCGATAAGCCAGTGCACACACGCTGGGGAGCACTGGCACCGGCACGGGGAGGAGCACGAGGAGGGGCCGCAAGCGTGCCCCTCGCGCGAGCGACGAAGTCCTCCGCCTTGTTGATCTGCTCCTCCGTGTCCCCCTCGATGTGCACGTGCTGAGGCATCAGCTTCTCCTCGGCACCGGCGAGGAGGAGGGGGCAAGGAGGAGCGCAGACAGCGGGCGCCGTGAGAGAGGCAAGCTTTCGTGCAGGATCACCATCGGAACTGCCGACCCGGGCCTCTGGCGGGAGGCCCCGGGCCAGAGCGGCCCCACAGAAGTCCGCCGCGAGCCGTTCTCGAGGCGCTCGGATCGGAGAGGCGAGAGGCTCGCCATCGCTCGGACAACCGTCCCCCCGCGCATGCGTTTCGGCTCCGCGCGCACATCTTTCACACGATGGCCCAGGAGGCTCCTCGATGGCCCTCGCCGACAACAAGGGCACACGCCCGAGCGATGCAGGAGGGGGGAG